GTCACATGGAGAAGCAAACAGCGTTCCGATTCCGCTTTCAAGAGTGGACGCGGCGAGGCAGACTCGTCACCTGGCCCGCAGTCTCACACTGCGTGGAACACACCAAGCATACGACGCACAAGACTACACGGGCTTGACCCTTCACTCCAACTTTGGCCTCCACTCGGCCTACATCGACGCGAAGCTTCACTTCTCTGTCGCCTTTGGCTGGGAGTTGCTTTCACGAAAGTTTATACCACGTTAATCGGAATGACTGACAGTGTGGCATGCGATGTTTGCGGCACCGATGAAAATATCGAACACCTGCTGTGCCACTGTCCTCGATTTGCCTTAGACAGACAAGTACTTGCCAACGCAATGCGGTGACTGGATGATGGGACTCTTTCTATGCAGGTGCTACTACAGCACCATCCACATCCCTCGACAGCCCACAAGGCAGTAAAAGCCCTATTGTGTTTTTGAGAAAGACGGGTTTGTGTGAACGCCTCTGACATGCGGTGGAGCTCTACACGCTGCAGTGAAATTATTGTCAATCTCTCTTTTTTTTTCTTTTTCTCCTCTTCCCTCTTTCTCATCTTTCTTGTCCCCTTCCCTAATCCTCCAGTGTAGGATAGCCAAGCCAATGTCTTTCTGGTTAACCTCCCTGCCTTCTTCCTTTTGTTGCTTCCTTCCTTCTTTCTAAATTGTATGCCACGACATTTATTCTCCAGAGACGACATTGTGATCCCAATAAATCGAAACGAGAAGAAACACTAAAATGCTTTAGCCCTTTTGAACGCAGAACCGAGCTTTATGAGTCCAATGTTAATCTCTTAGGGTGACTCGAACATAGGCTCGTGGGCCCGTAACGTTTTACTAATATATTAATGCTAGTGACACATATGTAAGCAAATTGAACTTTAATTTTCATTATCTCTTCAATAATGAGGTTATTGCGTAATCATCTCAACGGTAATCTTCGAAGTATATGCTCTAATCTGTAGATTTATGGTATTTATTAGTACTTAACGAAAAGTGTGTTAAGCACACACTATAGTATGAAGAATATGGTATTGAGGGAACACCATAGTTGCATATATTAACTGCTATACACTTAAACATTCTTGTGAATTCTGATTGAGGATACAGAGTACTTGAGCGTACACCGCTACTTCACCAGAAAAAAACAAGATACGTGTACAGACTGCTGTTTTGACTCTGTACGGAGAGCCAACAGACGGACCGGCCAACTCCAGAATACATATTGACGCCAGTTGGTGCACAACTCTACAGGCTTCTGAAAACCCGCGAACTTGGTATTTTGCAATACATTTCTAGTTCCACCATAGTCTCGTTTGTCGGTTTGCCGTCAAGCATGCGTCGCGCAGTTACCTGTAGAGCGGGATGTCGATATTCACACATTAATATTCAGGCCCTGACACCTTTCAGCCGTCTCCTTGCTCTTTAGAGGTCTAGTGCTTGTCCGCGTATTCTAGAGCTACACTTAGAGGACGTAAAGAGCATCGGGTAGCTGTGAAAGCGTGAGTATCTGCTCAGCGTGCCAATATTGCAATGAATGCTACAGACCTATAGCGAAGTTTCAGACTGCAGTAATGTCATATTCGCGCTACTTCAAGAACCTATTGCAGCGTTCATAAAGCCGCATTCATGCGAGAACACTTACACCTATATCAACAGACGGTCGCGTTTGCCGTGGAACACGAAGTTGCAGCCAGGTAAAACTGACCGACATCGATATGGAACCTGTGGCACCTGGGTATTCGGTGATCGCACGTCAGGAGATTGAGCGCAAAGAAAAAAAAGAACTACACTCTGTAATTACCCACGGCGGAAGAAAAGCTAAGGAGATGCCGTGAATTTCTATTTACGAAGCCTTCACATCTCAAATATTGGCATCGCATACTAGCAAATGGCGGAGCTAAACAGGCAGCTATTTGCGACGAGAGCGCGATAGATTGGCCGTGCGTGAAGGAAAAGTAGCAAAGCTGTCGCAGTTCAATGTGTGCAGCACTTTAGGAGCCCGGGATGTCGTATGCTGCTGTCGGTTGGAGTAACGCTGTCAAAACCACGTATAAAAAAAATGAGGAAGAAAGCGAGAAGTGTAAAGAGAGAAAGAAAAGAAAAAAAAGGGGAAAAATTAGCAATGAATATAAATTAAGAGAGAAAAAAAGGCAACACTAAACGAAAAAAATTCCGCCATATCCACGAAGTGAATGATGATGAGTGGGCGAAGCTCCGGAGGTAAACCTGGTAAACCATGAATCCTCTGTACATTTCGCCCACTCGATTTTATTACATCGCTCCCCCTAGCGTACGTCGCCGCACTAAATCGAACGATTGCCTTCAACCAATGACACGTGCCATATGTGACATCATTCCTATTTTATAAGATCTCACGTCTTTCATCAACTACAAGTACCGCTTTCTAGTTTATAACATCTTGCATCTTTTCATCATCAGCTACAAGTACCACCATCTAGTAAACACTACAAGAACTAAACGAGAGGTGGCTACATACAGGAGACGGTACTGCCATCTAGTGAACACTGCAAGAACTAAACTAGAGGTGGCTACATACAGGGGACGGTACCGCCATCTAGTGAACACTGCAAGAACTAAACTAGAGGTGGCTACATACAGGCTACAGGGGACGCACAGCCCACGCCCTAAGGAGCTTCGCCCCTAAAAAAGAGAAGAAAGATAGCAAAAAGGGGATAAAAAGTCACAACATATACACGGAGTAAATGATGATGAGTGGGGCGAAGCATCCGTCAGCCCGTCCGTGCTTCCGTACGTCCATTTGTTCTTGCTTCCGTCCGCCTACGCGACCATCCGTGCATCCGTCCATGCGTCCTTCCGTCTGTCCGTCTGTGAGTCCATATATCCGTCTGCCCGTCCGTTCGTGCGTACATCCAAACGTCCGCACGTCCGTCCATCTGTCCGTCCGTCTTCTAGTCTGTCTGTCCATCCGTCCGCTCGTGCGTCCATCTAGTGAACACTCGAAGTACCGCCATCTCGCACACCCTGTGGTACATGCCCGCTCCGCGCATCCGTTCATCCGTCTGTCCGTCTGCTACTCTGTCCGTCCGTCCGTCCCTGCGTCCATCTAGTGAACACTCCAAGTACCGCCATCTCCCATCTCGCATGCACTGTGGCACATACTCGATCTAGAGCTGGTATGTGCTACCGGTGGCTACATACGACAACGGAGGATGAAAAGACCCGCGTCTTAAAAGGAGCTTCGCGCCTAAAATAACCAACGAAACGCAAAGAGTGCTGTCCAGCTGCGTTCTGATTGAGGCTTGGCAACGCTAGTGCGATGCTTTCTTAATTTTTGTCTTCGCTGTGCGAGTGGCGCAAGTGCCCATGACTTATTGTCTATCTTCCGTATAAGATAAGTTGGGAAATCCGAGCTCTGGTGTGCCCGAGTCAGGACCCTAACCGAGTGCAAATCGAAGACGCTATGTGTCACTTGATGTGACTTTCAATGTGTACACAGATTAGTCATATTCCCTACACATCGCTGATAATAAAGTACTGTCATTAAACCTTCTCAATGTGTTCTAAGGCTTGTTCCCGTATTCACAATTCGACATCATCATTATCTGTTTTTTGGACTTTAGTGGGTTCAATAAACAAGTCATGCAAGTATTTAGAGATAAATCTCGCAGTTATCGTTCACCATGTTGCCATTTTTGTACCCATAACACGCAGGTAGTGTGTATTAAACTGAAGGGAAACATATAGGGCAGAAGTTGGTTTGGGAATACGGGCGTAACGTTGGGCTTGCTGCCCCGCCAAGGTGGTCTAGTGGCTAACGTTCTCGGCTGCTGACCCGCAAGTCGCGGGATCGAATTCCAGCTGCGGCTGGCTGCATTTTCTATGGAGGGGAAAATGCTGTAGGTCCGTGTGCTCAGATTGGTGTGCACGTTAAAGAACCTCAGGTGGTCGAAAGTTCTGGAGCCCTCCAATACGGCGTCCCTCATAAGCAAATGGTGGTTTTGGGACGTTAAACCCCACATATCAAAAGTTTGTGCTTGCTCCGTGCGTCGGCTCAGAACACCTGCGAACTTCTGTTTTAGGCCTAGACGACCGTTACATAACATGCCCGGAAGATATATTGTGCTTTTCGAGGCTGTGCCAGAAGCCCACTGAAGTGCAATGCATATTTTTTTATCACACATCATCATGAAAATGTCTTGCGCGCTGTGCGCATTGTTATTGGGCACACATTGAAATTACATACACATGCCCGGGTATACCCTGCAGCTGTGTTCTAAGACGTTGTGTCGTAAGCGTAAAATGCTTCGTGGACATTGTCTTTCGAGCTCAGAACGCAATACCAGCGCTTTCTGATAAGGCATCCATCGAAACCTGTCAGAGGGTCTCAAGGCGTTGGAATCAATACCATTAGGAAGGTAATTTTGGTGCGCGTTAAAGAGCCGCAGGTGGTCAAAATTTCCGAAAGCCCTCCACTACAGCGTCTCTAATAATCATATCGTGGTTTTTAGACGTTAAACCCAGCATATTAAAGCAATCATCAGGAAGGCATTCTAGAAGTGTGTTTTGTTTGACTACCTAGTCGCACATTGGAATTGGTAAAAACAGCGCAGAATAGACGAGACAAACGAAGGAACGCACATGACAAGTGTGCCATCTGGCATGATTCTTCATTCGTCTCGTTTAGTTTGCGCTGCTTTTACTTTTTGCAATACAGTTCCCCGGCTCACTATTGCATGCTGTAGTTCATCACAAAAAACATACACCAGGAGTCTGCACAGGCCCACATAAATATGGCTGTTTTTGCGCGACGAAAGAACGAGGGAAGAGGCCAAGAGATATACTGCTCTCCCCTTGACGAATTCTTTCGTTCTTTCATGGAGCAAGAACATTTATACTTTTGTGGCCCGTGCAGAATCATACACCGACTAGCCCAGGAAAGCAGTACTTCTAGAATACACCGCGAAGATTCGCAACATGCCGAAATTCCTATGGCGCACCTTCAGTGACGCACGCGATGCCGTCGGGTATGGCGGTTGCTCCGACGAAGAAAATGAACATGAGGACAACCATGAACACGAGAAGAAACCCAGCTACCATCGCCATCAGGATCAGCGACATCTGGTCCCTGGTATCCAACGTGCCTTCCGAGCTGCTTTGATCTGCGTTCGCTGGAATACGCGCGTGCGCAGTTATTCTATCAAGCCAATCAGGAACTGGGAGCTGTGAGTACATTGATAGCCATTATATAAGTACGAATTGAAATGCACTGTCTGCAAATGCGTGTTATTGGTATAGAGCGTGTTTTCAAGACACTATATGTCACATTCTAAAAAATTAAAAAAAGGCGTTGTGATTGAGATTCATTGAAAAACGTTAGTTATCGTGTAATATAAGTAATTAGGTTCCAGCAAGTCAGCTGCAGTTCTAGCATAATAAAAAGCAAATGCCCAAAATCCATGCCCAGTTTGTTTCTTGGTTGTATTCGTTTTGAACTAATAAAAATAATCCATGCCCAGTTTGTTTCTTAGTTGTATTCGTTTTGAACTAATGAAGATAACACTGTTGATGTTGCTCTTGGAAGGCGGCATGTCGAACTATCGTCGAACATTGTAGTGCTTTCATCTAAGTGGTCTTCTGCAGCAATAGGCAGCACAATGTTGTTAAAAGCTCCGCTATTTGTCCACTGGGAGTCTGCACAGATGTGCACACCACGTTTCAATTCATTTAAAGAAACACGTGGTAATTGACGCGTCTTCGTTGTTACAAAATTATATATATATATATATATATATATATATATATATATATATATATATATATATATATATAACGCAAATATACACATATAAACTGATGGGAATACTGCTGGTGTAAATATTAAAGTGAGCGCCAACAATGTGTCATATAGACAGCTCATTTTAGGGATTGCGACGAATGAGTCAAATTTCTAATACCAGGGTTGGTCGGGTTAATACTTTTGGAAGTCTACAATCACCTATAAAAATTTTATAACAGTGCCGTCGTTAGTCAAAAATGACAATCATACAAGAATAGACAAAGTAGTTATTTGACAGTTATACTATAGCCTTCAGAAGTCGTTGTTCAACCATATCATTTAGAAAGCAAGTTATAGCCTTAATGCTCTTGTCGATTGCACCAAAGGAAATTTTGTTACCTGTTAATTATGACGCTTATCTGGATCACCACGTATTCGTTTTTACCGATGAACAATCGCTTACTCCAACTGATTGTCTTAGTACTGCTGTTTGCTTGAGCTCGTACCGCTACGCATGCTTAAGTTTATGTCAACATGCCGTATCTCGACTCCGCTTTAGTTATGTCGACACCATACCTGCATCGCTGGCATATCACTCATCTGCCGGGCATGCTATATGCCTTTACTAACCACATATGCTATCTCGTAACGTTTGTTGGAATATTGGTGACACCGAGCTCATCTGCAATTCAGTGCTCTTGGAGAATTTCACCTCGCCCTGTGTTTGCAGTAAAGCAGCGCTGTTTTTTCTGTTTCCTTCCTTTACTGGACCTGTCTTTCGCGTAGTCCCAATTTTCTAGCGGATGTTGAGGAGCTACTGGGAGGTGCGAGGAGTTGAGGTGTATACGCGTAACGGCGGAAAAAAAAAAGCTCGGAACTTTGGCATTCCCATTTTTAGTTCCCTTGCAGCAAAATCTGAAATACAAGAATTCCCAGTAATTGGGTTTGCATTACAGCAAACATGCAATATACAAACGTTCTCGTATTGGTCTGAAATCTTACTGCAGACAGGTTACGAAAAAGAGAAAGCTAAGAAAGTTTTGAAGTATGTAGGTAAACTCATAACTCATTCTATATTACAGCTTTTGAAAACTGCCCTCTTTTTTTTGTTTAAGCGCGAAGGTCGCACAATCAACACAATTTTTTTCTCGTATTTCAAACTCGTTAAAGGCAGCTGGTTGGCACGCTCATCAATAGGACTTGTTAAACGAAAGCTCAAGTGATAAGCGACAAGTCGGGTAACAAGATGGAATGCTCCTCATAGAAAAAAAAATTCAAGTGAGGCTGTTTCAGTTTTAATTCCCATTTATAACGAAGTGATCGTCGACCGTCCTGAACAAAGCTGGTAGAACACTGGCGCAACCAAGGTCAAGCAAAATCAGGATAGCTCGCGGCGAGCCCGCTTACAGTGAAACTGACTTGTGGTTGCCTGAAAAAGGTAGCGTACCTGCGGCGGTATTCCAGACCAGCCTAGAAATGCAGGCGTCGAAGAAGACGTACAGTAGGTGAATTTTTTTAAGTGCCACACCTCTGAATGAATCACACTTTGCAAGGATCAGAAACGCGGCTTAGGCATATATATAGAAGACAACAGAAGAACCGGCACTAGCACATCTTCGTTTTACAGACGATGTAACAAATAAATTGCAGCTATATCTATAGCCCAACTTCATTACTAATTTGAAATCGCCGTCGATAGAACGGAAGAACTCATCTGCCAATTTTATACCTGGAGATATTACAAGTAGTATTACTGGGCGAAATTTATTAAAGTGTTTCCATAATTTCCAGTAAATTGTATATTATTATTATTATTCTTATTGCAAAATATAGCTCACTACAAGGCAAGGCGCCAGCCAAAAAATCTAAATTATGAACCAGCATAAAGGGCAGCCTGTGGTACTTACGCTGCGGCGCTTTGATACTCTTGCGAAGCTTTGCAAACGCCACGGCGACGACAGACTTGCGTCTGCCATATTGACGTTTGCGTACGGCCTTCTGCTCGTCGTTTTTGTCGTCGTCGTCTTCGTCGGCGATGGCAAACATGGCAACTCGACTACGAGCCTTGCCTTTACCGCGGTTCGTTGTGGCCGGATTTGAGGCAGCCTTGTTGTCATCACTGACCAGGTGACTGACTTCGGCGCTCTTCAGCGTCACCTTCGAGCTTTTGACTTTGCTGGCACCGACGCTTTCGCTGACAACGTCTTCATCTACGCCACTCACGCGGCTGGATGCCGCCACACTCTGCGACACACTGACGTCGTCTACTTTCAGACTAGACTTGGGCGAATGAACAATTTCTTGTCTCAGGCTTGGTAAAGTCGCACCCGTGTCTTTGGAGTCCTGAGTCGGTGACGACGGTTCCAGTATCCTTCGGCACGTTGGACGTCGGCCTGGCTGCGGTACCCTTTGCCTTGGAAGTACCGGCGTTGGGTGCAGGGCTGGCGACGCTGCTCTTTGCCTTAGGCTTGCCGGCCTTACTGATTTTCGTGCTCGAGACAGCCGACTTCGACGTACCAGTGGGTTTGTCTCGACGCTGTTCTTGAGCCGAGACCACGTCCTTCAGACTTGTCACGTTAGAAGCGCTTTCCATAGCGTCCACCTGGTTATCCTGCATCATAGGAACGTACGAATTGGCGTAATATTATTCATGATAGTTGTTATAAGTCATTGAATAAACCATATACTGAAAGTGCTTACGAACTAGCGCAAGCCATTAATCTGCCTTATCCTTATCTAGCGTTTCCCTCATCGGGATTTGTACCTTTGGTGCGATTGATGAACAATGTAGGCACTTAATCAGAAGCCAAGCGAGTTAATACTTTTTTAATCGAGTTATCATTTCTGCAGCTTTAGATTGCACGTAGAGTGCGCAACAACTTAAGGAAAACATAAGGATAAGGCCGGTTTATGAATACGGGCATCAGTTTTCTCATACTTCCCATAAGGCTGTGAGAATTACAGCATAACATACTATGGCTTGCAGACATATCAACGGTGGCAACCTGCCACGTACGCAAGTAGTAAACTTTATGAACGCTTACAGGTAAGAGGGATACTGACACCTTTTTTTTGGAGGCAAGTATGCTCTGCCACACATATTTCCTGTATACAGAGACAGCTCAGAGCAAGCGTGGCGCTCAGAAAATGCTGGTAGAATATTTTATTTTGATATTAAACAACTTTTCTTGCGGCGCATCTACCAACGTCGACACTAACATGACGTCTGGCTACAGTACTAATCCTGGTGACTTCACGCATTAGCCTGGATAATTGTGATTACGTCCATCACCAACACACAAAACATGGCAGCTAGCGCGTTGCTTACTCGATCGTCTGCTCGCGTCGTGTGGCAGTGTGGTCACTGTCATTCAGTGTATCTGTAGAGCGAACTATAGCGGAGTCCGGAATGGTGTATTTTCACGCGAATACAAAATACGCGCTTTTCAGAAGGAGAAGAAAATTTATTTAATTTTGAATTCATCGTCGTGAGGCCAATATTTTGCGCTGTGAAGTCTTGCGTCCATGAAGCGGGGGTCAAGTTCCACCAATTTCCGCCCGATTCGCCACTGAGACAAGTGCCGGTCGACTTCACTCCGAAGCTTTTAAATTACGCTGTAAATAATTCTTCATGGTGCACTCACGCTTACTGGTACACTTCTTACGCTCCCGGGGTTCGGTTTGTCATTTGACTAAAAAGAAACGATAAGTGAAAACTTTTTTGTCAGTACACCTTTGAGTAGTGGCGACAAGGTTCACTGCATCTCATATACAACTTGGTGCTCCAACAATGTTAAGTCGGTGTTAAAAATATGAACGACGCATTTTATGATGACGGGTCCAAACTGCACGTTGCTAGCTATGCCAAGTAAGTTCCAGTGTTGCTTGATATCACGTGAAGTAAGTTCCTGGCATCCATGCTGTTCCTGGCATCTACGCGTTCAATTGGTCCTCCATATCGCGCGCAGGTTTTATACACGTACGCTATATATGTGTAACACGCGCGAGTTCTAGCCCGAGAAAAAAAGACAAAGAGAAAGAAAGCTATATGAACCAGCGGAATGAAGTTATGACGGTCCTCACATCAGCTTTTCTTCAGAAGACCCTTTTTATCACATGTGTCAAGAGAGTGGGTTATACCACGAACAGTCATGGGAATGGATGTTTATGCAAGCTTAGCAAAAATGTTCAGGGTTGTGAAATATTTCGTCGGGGTTTGTTATACATTTTCCGTAGATATAGTTAGCTGTAGAGCAAGATTTGTTCCGTTAGATTCATTTATGCAGCTTTGATTTTGACTTTAAAATTTCCTGCTTCCATGTTACAGTTCTAAATAATTTCCCATTATGGGTTCAGTAATGCATATTGTTCTTCTTCAGAGAGCAAAAAAAAAAACTAATTCATTTGACAAAAAGAGACAAAATTGAGAGCTAGCGTCAGCATTGAAGTCGTGTCCCGTTACCTGTGCGCTTTGACGCTCCGAAACGCTTGCTTTGGGACCAGTGTTGTGTAAAGGGCTCGGGTCAATTGGATTGATGCCTTTCTCACTGCTGCCGGGACTAGGCATTCCTTCAGCACTGATCGCTGCAATGCCTTCACCCTTGCTAGTCGGTGGAATCTGACCCTTTGCAGCTGGCTGGCCTGTAAGGTGAGCATAGTTGGACACTTTATGCGCGAGAAAGTCCTATATCCTAAGTGCGTCATGTTTCGTCGGAACGTACGTATGCTTCACGTCAATTAAAAATTCGCGTTTTTTTTGCCGTAATGTCAATGTAACGAATGAAACAGAAAAAAACTTGCATGCTATAGGAAGCCAGCCTGTCGGGCTTAGTAACAACAAGCATACTAAGCTGGTGCGCTGCAGTTTGACCACACCCTAATGAACAAAGGTGACTGAACAGTCCGCATAGGGAATGGGGTTGCTGTTGATGAGAAGCGGCGCATCGGTCAGATCATTCTAGATTGTAAAGCATATGATGCGTGGCACATGATGTAAAACAGCGTCCTTCCCACGAGTGCTTCCTTATTGTGTCTGCAGTGTGATAAATATATCTGTACATGAAAGAATTAATGAGTTAATTATTGACATCTTATTAGTTGTGGCTCATGCCACTCGAAAAGTGGCGGATGATAGATTAAGAAAGACCAGGGCCCCATGCTGTGGTGAAATCGTCTGTCGAAAACACTGGCATGTTAGATGAAAAACTTCAGAACGATAGCACATAGGTAAGAACAACAAAACAATCAATAAATGACAGCAAATACATAAATAAATAAAGTAATTGAAAGATCAGTAGCTATGTTAGTACTTCTGGTTATTGGAAGACATTGTATTGAGAAAAATATTCTTTGTTCACAACGCCTTTCTACTAATTGGTGCTTAGGCATGTAACGTTGCTAGTAAAGTAATTATCACTCGATGTAATAGCATTAGACTTGTAGCTGAGAAAGTACTCAGAAATTTCGCTGTCGTGGTGCTTTCGGAGAGCGGATACTAATATAGTAGCCTTTAACTCATCAGAAGAGTGGCCGGGAATGTGGACATGTTTAGATGAATTAGATGAGGGATGGTTCACGTAACTTTCTGTGCGTCATCTGTGGCTGTTGAGTCATTTTTAGCGTAGTTTCGCAGTCTGATCGACATACTGTTCGCTGCATTTAAATAAAGCAAGCATTACGACTATATTGGTGGCGTTACCTGGGCCACCACCACACATTTCATTTGAAGGGTAATGTAGTACTGGTACTACTGCTTCGATGGGCACGTAGGCTGCACTTAGAGCTGAGCAGATCCTTTTTTAAAATCGTAAAGTTCAGCTTTCTGCTATGCCGCTTGAACAACTAATGGGGCATACATTTAGTGCGAATAGCCAGTTCCAGTGCGGTTTGCTTATGCAATGACGTGAAGAATGTTCAGTCGGCTCTCTTGAAATAAGCACTTGTAATATACAAGTGCACTTGTATATAGTACATACAAACCCTAGCACGTTCGACTAGGGCTGCACCTACGCTTGAAGCACGGCGGGTACAATCATTACTTGTTCAAGTATGCAGTGCAAAGAAGCGTATATACTATTGAAATATGAAAAGGCTCTTTGTACACAATTATGACAATTCCTTGGGGGGTGGGAGGAGGGAGCGCCATTGTCTTCGACCCACCAGAGCCTACACTATAGAAAAATAAACTGTCCTTCAAACTAACAAAGCATTATTCGATTGAGTACGTGAATAAGGGTTAATCGTATCACTTCTCACCCATTTCGAAAATAGTTCTTTGTTATGACCATCGTACGAAGGCGGCTGCTCAAGAGACCCTCCTGGATGTGTCTCTCGAATTGAAGGATGCCTAGGGCCGCGCGGTTTAGGTACACATATGCTTTTTTTAGCTGTCCCAAGGCAGTTGCATGCTGCTGACCTAGAGACGCACGTACGTTTATCTTTCAACATATGCCGCACAATCTACGGTGGCAAGACACGAGTTCTGTGGGGCGCAAAATAATCAGGGATAATGTGTGGTGATCGAATGAAGCGTAATAGGTAACAGAAAGGTTTCTTTTAATTGAATAAACAGCTCCGCCATGAAAATCGAAAGCCTATTTTTACGGATACAATGAACATACCCTTCGATGATTTAGGCTTCAGCGCTGACTTCTGCGTGGTTGGCTTAGCCTTGTCAGCCATGTTTCTGAAGTCCTCCAATGATTTCAACGGACTCTGCATAGGATAGAATAATAATGTCTAACGTTTGACCTCTGAGAACCACAATGAGAGAAAGCGGCGAGTTACACTACGAGACGGGAGACTCGGCCTTAATTTCAACCACTCGAGGGCCCTTGGTGTGCGCTTCAATCTTAGTTCTCTGATGCGCCGCTGTATATAGAAAATTTGTCGTTCCTTGCACTGTTTTTATCTATTTTTTGCGCGAAAAAGACATCCACGAGGTGTCGTATCCCATCATGAACTATCGTTTTCTTCAGCGAAATTTGACGAATTCGTCACATACCACGGAACAACGCATTACCGCCCTTCTGTGTACTACCTTCAAGCTAACGGCTTGACTGAAATAATTTAATAGTGGGCCGAAGTCGTATATTAAACTGGCTTTGTTTGAACGTGACCCTCGAACAGCCATACATGATTACCTGCAAGTATATCTCTCCACGCCTCACGCGACTACTGGTGTGACACCCACTGCTGTTCTTCATAGACGCCAAGCTCGCACCACACAGTGACATAGTGGAATTGCCTGATATTCAGCACGGACACGTCGAGGGCCATTAAGGAAGCCGTTGCGAAAGTGCGTAAAAAACAAGCAAAGGGTATCGAAGAGTGTGCCGACGAAAAACGTGGAGCCAAGTGAAGCGAACGTCGTCGTTGAATGAGTGATTAAATGCTTGCTGAGCTGCCTCCAGTTGACGGAGAGCTGTCTTCACTGTTCTCCGCACCCTTGAAGATCTTTGGAAAACATCGACCGTCCTCATACCTTTAGGACGGTGGGCGTTGTGGAACGCTTCCATGTTAGATGCTGTTCCCCATGGAGCAATCAACAGAATGAAATCAAGCACCTCTGCGGTTACCAACTCGTCACGCGCATCTTATCAGTCATCTAGTGCACCACAACCTGACCCATCAAGAGAAGATGGCCATGAGACTGCAGACCCTGGATCATCCTACTGCGGAGGGCACGCAAGTTCCAATATGTCAGGATTTGATGCGCGCGTAAGAAGAAGCAAGCGTGAGAAGAAGACTACGAAGAAACTGAAGGACTCAGGTAAAGAATGACCTTGTGTTTTTAAGGCAGTGTTATATAAGGCGTTGCTAGCGGCTATATTGCTATGCCATGACACGTGCTCGGTGGCCTTCACAGAGAGGAGAAAGAAGGTGAAATAAACAGGACGTCTCCGTTTATGCTGTGATAGTAACAACACACGATGTAACAAATACTGTTTCTCGGCCACCTACTTCTTGGAGTGCGGATATCACTCACTAGATAAATTGCTGCAATCAGCATCGCAGACACGCAACGATGTCGACGGGCAAATGTCGGTGCATAGGTGGGCCGAGGCCAAGATACGCAAAACGCCTTCGCGCGTCCATGGCTCGATCGATGAACATCTGCAATCCGTGTAGCTGAAGCGTACTGTGGGAGTGTATACATGAACACAGGTGTTGGTTGCCCTATTATTCCGGCGCACACAATGCGCCTTGTCTCTCCCTAATTAACGACGCTTTAAGCAAGTGCATATTGAGTCTATGTGTATTAGGTGTTTGTGGACGTCATCTTTGCGCGGCATTCACGATATGCTGTCTCCAGTTCACAACCGTTAAAATATGACCATGACCGTTAGTTGTCGCAATGTGGACGTGCGACTGGGCTTCATAATGGGCGCCTCTACGTCAAACAGTGGTGTAGCTGCAAAACATTAAAAGACATCGAACAAGCACTAATGGTATCAATACAGAAGAAACAATTAAGTACTTCTGTGAACACACGTTTACCTTCGTGTTGTACCGATTCCTACGCCAAAAAGATGCGCCATGTTTTTTTCTGATAGTGCAGTTACCGTAAGCAATTCACTGATAAGATGGGCATGAAAAAATTTCAATAGAATTGGCGTTGAAAATGTGATTCATAGGGGCAAGTGGCAGTCAAGCGTTTAAAAAAAAAATTGCCGCCATATCCACGAAGTGAATGATGATGAGTGGGCGAAGCTCCGGAGGTAAACCTGGTAAACCATGAATCCTCTGTACATTTTTCCCACTCGATTTTATTACATCGCTCCCCCTAGCGTACGTCGCCGCACTAAATCGAACGATTGCCTTCAACCAATGACACGCGCCATATGTGACATCATTCCTATTTTATAAGATCTCGCGTCTTTCATCAACTACAAGTACCACTTTCTAGTTTATAACATCTTGCATCTTTTCATCATCAGCTACAAGTACCACCATCTAGTAAACACTACAAGAACTAAACGAGAGGTGGCTACATACAGGAGACGGTACCGCCATCTAGTGAACACTGCAAGAACTAAACTAGAGGTGGCTACATACAGGGGACGGTACCGCCGTCTAGTGAACACTGCAAGAACTAAACTAGAGATGGCTACATACGGGGGACGCACAGCCCACACCCTAAGGAGCTTCGCCCCTAATAACGAGTCTCCTGATTTAGCTGGTGTATACAACCTGCACGACTAAGTGCGCGCAGAAAAATCCACATATCGGAGTGGTTCACTGGAATAACCAGCGTAGTAGCCACTTTTCTGACAAGGTGGAAGTTAGGCGAACGATATTTGCGATGGGGTGGTGACGCTAGTGAGATCAGTAATCTTAATTTCAATTCATTTACCTATCACAAAAAAAGTATATAAGTTAGTGATTTCAACAGACGCAATGTTTATTTTCTGCAGATGAATGAGTCTTTGGAGATCCCGGTTTGATAACGGCACGCAAATAAAGCAATGAGCAGAAGAGGATGAAACGTCCTTCACGCTTACGTTACAAGCCGAGCGACGTTACATAGGCAAGATCCCCACAGCAAGGGATGCCAGCTGTACTCTTTAGATGCTTTATTCTACGAGTAGCAAAAATGTGGTACCTGGTGACGCTCTTGTTGGCCTTGTTATGAGATTCTCTGCTGCGTGAGCGCTATCTTTTCGCTAGCTGGACGCCTATGTAGAACAATCTCGTTTGGGGACAGAAGACCGCACGTACTATACTGTTGTGCACATGAGTGGCCGCATGAAGTCATAGCTGGCCTAATTATCCTTGTTTATTGATCGTTAACTTTCTCTGTGTAACTGGTCTCATTCAACTGAAACTATGTCATAGATTCGATATTACGACGAGTGCAGAGAAAGTATACTTTCTCGAAACCATGCATCTATCCTCTGAATCAACTGCGTACGTTACTTTCAATATATTTCCATCAATTCAAGACCCCGCGCAGGCCTAGGTCTCTCACACTGTGGCTTAATATTTAGAGCAATAAAACCAGAATAAGAAGAGGAATGTGGAGTTCCTAAGCAGGAGCAACGTGCTGGAGCCGAACTTTGGACAAGTGGACGTTTCTTTTTTTTCAAGGTTTCAATTGTCCGCAATAGCAGCCTTGAAAATGACACGTCCGCCCATCGAAACGACAGCTCCGGCACCCACCCACTGTTTACGACTTTTGCTTCGCAAGCTTCTATCTATCCCTCCCTGCATTTATTTTGGATAATGAAATTCACCCGTAGCCGTGTAAAACTTAAGAAACAGCGAAACTGCTCGATCCTATGAGCTTAACGTAGACTTCTTGGCTGAAGCTATAGATATAAGTCTTCTCCTTTTGCGTGAAGAGAGTTGAGTCACAGAGCATTCTACCACAAAACATGCCATGAATGTCAAAGCAGCAGCGCCAGAAACTAACGTGGAAACCTTCGCTGTGGAAGCCTCCGGTAGAAGCACTGAACTGTCCACGAACCTCCTTTACTCGCGCCATCTCCGAAAAAACTCGGAGTGGCAGGAGTGAACTGCAAGCTGCACGGGCGGGCTATTTCTCGGCAGCGGCTGCTTCTTGGCGCATGCGCAGCTAGGCGAGCTCAAACCACGGTGGCGCGCAGCTGGCGCAGCTGCAACTTGGTTGTTGATGAGTGGCCACAAAGAGGCGTTTTAAAATTTTTGCTTGAGCTTTGAGAGCTTCGCACTTAAAAAAGCCAGTATAGACATTCTGTCCTGTCATATTTCTTGTCTTTCTTTGTTGGACTCAAGGTTGCTATCGACCAATGCCCCTCTGACGGCATGCTACTTGAATGTAAAGCAGCCATATTCTCTGATGCATTCCTTATTGCAGGCAGACACCTCTCATTTTTTTTTTTCGAAATTCAGCCATACAAAATTTTCTGTAACGAATGTCTTCAAATGACACGTCACCTATATACCATCGCTAATTGTTCGCTGTTATTGCTTCAGTTCTCCGGTCGTTTAAATGCAGCTTCAGAAGTCGCATTAGTCGCTACCGACATTCGTCATGCACATGTTGCTGACGTCAGTCGTTAAATACCAACGTGCCACTGCATTGTTTTACGTTCGTCTTTTAGCCTATGTATCGGTATATCCATTCATCATACTGACGCCAGAGAAGCGAATGCCCATGTCCTCCATCGCATTGTACCGAGAACGCGAGAGAATTAGGGGCCAATAAATTTTGCACAAAACATGTTATGAAGCCAGCAGCTTCTAATCGGTATTCATATCTTGTAACTGTACAAGAAAAGTTAGGCGAAGAGGGAGGGGAGGTCTACTTGGTGCACTCTTTGTCGACAATAGATATTGTAAATCAGAGGACAGGGCAGAACTACGCTTTTCGTTACTCCTTTGAACCTATTGCTCAGCGCAACCACACATTGCAATGCCGTACCAGCTAGCCCGAACTGAAGCTTTGCTCGATAGTCGGAAGGCATGACGAAATAGCCTGCCAGGATGTCATGGTCAGGGCACGAATATATAACACCTCTATCGACTGCATGGGACTGAGCTTATCTCGTTCGTCAACACTTTCTGTGGATATTGGTGCTTCCTCTGTGGTATTTTCTGTGTAACGACGAAATCTCGTCACGCCGGATTTTTCAGCACCGGAAAAATTATACTGAATATCAATTCGTCAAGTGTATCAAGAAAACATTTAAGGAATGACTGCTACATCAATGCACGTTCG